CTTGCAAATACATATTTTTTTTCTGTAATTCAGATAACTACCTTTTGGGTGATTCAGCGTACCCATGTAGCAGATTTCTAATAACACCGAACAGGGATTATGGGCTCAAAAATATTTCCATATTATGCTCAACTCCGGACGTTTGCTATTGAGCATACTTTTGGCATCTTAAAGCAAAGGTTTAGGCAGTTGTATTACTGCAAGTTAAGAAGCTTGAAGAAACTGTGCCACTTCGTAAGAGCTTGCTGCGTTTTGCATAATATTGCAAGTGAATATGACCTAGAATTTATTTCTGAGGTGGCACCAGATATAATGAAAGAAGTCACAACGCGCGGTGAAATTTCTAGGGGAAAGTCTGTACGTGATCCCATACGTCAACAGCTACAAGTTCTCCGTCAAAAACATAAACTAATACACACATATGGAGCGCATTGCTCTACATTTCCGTTTATTAAATAAGATTATAATTAAGTACTATAATTCAAGAATTAAATCAAGCGCGTCAGTATCTTGTCTCTATATCAATGTGAAGTTGGCTGCAGTTAGAAGTTAAAAAGTATTAGTGTTGCCACCTATAATATATTCGTCTATAAGTGTTAGGTCAGATCCCTGCACCACCCCCTTTCCAGGAGCGCCGGGAAAATGGCATGGTATAGCTGCTAGCTCGTCTCTTGGAAAGTAAGCCGGCTTGAGCCGGTCTATGGATACCGTGACTGGTTTCGACCCGATTAGTACGGTGTATGTTTTCGGGTATCTATTAACGACAGTATATGGACCGTCATACGGTGCCTTCAGCGGTTTACGAATGGTGTCGTCTCGTAAGAAAACGTTACTGCAAAAACGTAGATCTTTGGGTACAAAAACTGCATGTTTACCGTGCTGCGAAGTTTGCGTTGGTTTCACATTTTCGAAGTGCTGTCGTAGATCTCGTAAGAAGCTTTGCTCGTCCGCAGGTGTGCTTTCTGAGGTGTTCAACAAATCACTAGGAAGCCGAATTGGCTGACCATAGAGCATTTCAGCTACCGACGCGCCTAAGTCCTCCTTCACAGCCGTTCTTAGTCCGAGTAGGACAATCGGGAGAACATCCACCCAGTTGGTGTCGGCTGAGTGGCACCTGAGTGCCGCTTTCAAAACTCGATGCCACCTTTCCACCAACCCGTTTGCTTGCGGATGATGGCTGGTGGTGTGAATATGTCTTACGTCGAGCAGCTTCGCTAGTTGCGTGAACAAGGCGCTCTCAAATTGTCGGCCTTGATCCGTGGTGATGTACTTGGGTGTACCGAACCTACTTATCCACCCTCTAATTAACTCTCTAGCGACGGTCTCAGCTGTCATGTCTGACATCGGAATCACCTCTATCCATCTGGAGAACCTATCGACACAAGTTAAACAGTAGGTGAATCCCCTCGAAGGTGCGAAGGGTCCACGTTGATGTGCTCGAAATGTTTGCCTGGGATCGCGAATGTCTCAAGTTCCTCTTTTGTGTGACGTGCGACTTAACAATGCTGACATGCTAGACAGCTGCGTACCCGTGCCCGCAAATCGCTGCTCATTCTCTTCCAAACAAAATTTCTGGAAATTAGTTTACTGGTTGCTTTCGCACCTGGGTGTGCTAACCCGTGGTTGGCGTTGAATACTACCTGTCGTAAGGATTCTGGGACGTATGGGCGATTAAGTCATCGCAGACTATGTTAATGCCCGTATCGGGGTGGTGATACTGTACCAAGTGAAGCGAAGTAGGCCCACCGTTGAGCAACTCCTTCAATTCATCGCTGTTGCTTTGTTCGTCGTGTAAATGCTGCATATCTATCGGCGATGGCAGAGCGAATGTTTCAATCCGTGATAACATGTCAGCTACATGATTGTGAGCACCACCTATGTGTCTGATGTCAGATGAAAACTGACTGATGTAGTTCAATTGCCGAGTTTGTCGTGGTGAAAGCTTTTCCCACTTCTGGTTGAAGGCGTGCATAAGCGGTTTGTGGTCTGTAAAGATAATAAAATTCGTTCCTTCCAGAAAGTAACGGAAATGTCGGATCGCTTTGTAGATCGCTAGCAATTCGCGATCATACGCACTATATCGCTGTTCAGTTGAAGTACACTTTTGTGAGTAAAATCCCAACGGTGCCTACCCGTTGTCAACCCGCTGCTGTAGAACAGCACCGACTGCAATGTCTAATGCGTCAGCCATCAGGGCAATCGTGGCACCTCGCAAAGGGAATGCAATGAGTGCTGCATTCGCTAATTGTTCCTTGAGCTTTTGGAAAGCTTCAGTAGCTTCAGGCATCCAGCTGATTGATGTCTTGTCCCTCTTCTTACAAGGACCCATCAATCTCTGCAGTAGCGGCCGCATGCGGTAGAAAACGCCTACAAAAATTTATGGTCCCCAAAAACCGCCTTAGTTCGTGAACCACTTTCGGTTTCTTGCACTCCAGTATACCCTTTACCTTGTGAGGTAGTGGTCTGATGCCTTTAGACGACACCAAGTGACCTAAAAATTCCACCTCGTTCTGGCCTAGTTGGCATTTTCCTTCGTTGATAACTAAACCTCTCTCACGATAACGTCTAAAGAGTTGAGTACGTTGTCGAGATATGGGAAAACAAACGGTAGTCCCTTGACCGTTTCATCGATAAATCGTTGAAACGTTTGAGCGGCGTTTCTGAGGCCAAACGTCATATACTTAAACTCAAAAAGCCCGAAAGGGGTTAGTATGGCAGTCTTTGGAACATCAGCTGGATGCACCGGAATCTGATGGTACGCTTTCCTACAGTCGACCACAGAAAAAATTGTCTTACCATGTATGTCGCCTCCAAAGTCCTGAATATGACGAACGGGATAGTTGTCTGGAATTGTCTTTGCATTCAATCGTCGGTAATCGCCGCATGGGCGCCAGGAGCAGTTAGATTTATGCACCATTTGCAACGGACTAACCATTGGCTCTTCGAGCGTTGACAAATTCCGCGCTCCAACAAATACTCGAACTCCTTTTTAGCGATTTCCATCTTTTCAGGGGACAGGCGACGTACTTTCTGAACTACCGGGGCTCCCCTCGTTTCTATGAAGTGCTGGACTGCCGCCTCGGTTTTATTTAACCCAGTCGAGGCATTGGTGAGGTCGGAATAACGCGCTAAAATTTGCTGGAACATGTTGTCTCCTTTTAGTGAAATAATACTATGTGCTGGTTTCATTATTTGACAAATAGTTTGAACGTTCGTTGTTTTCTCGATGATTACCTTATTTTTGACGTCCACCACAATGTCGTAGTGCTGGAAAAAATCAGCACCCAATATATGGTGAGCGACGTCGGCGACAATAGATAACCAGGAGAATGTCCGCCGTAGACCCAGGTCCAATGTAATGCGTTTTTGGAGGCAAGTATTTATATGCGTATTATATACAGCCACTAGTTTCATAGCGAATGTTTGAGTGTTTTAGCTATTACGCTTGGGCACTACTGATATCTCAGCGCCCGTATCGATAAGAAATTTCAACGAGGATACTCTGTTTCGGACGTAAAGACGGCAAGAACCATTGTCAGCCCCCACTGTAGCCGCTTTGAACGGGGGGCTGACTAGTTTTCCGCGTGTCGCTGAGCGTAGGTGCATGGCGATCGACACCTAGTTGCTTTGTCACCGAAAGTATGATGATACCAACAGAAACCGTGGTTTGTTGGCAGAGTCGAACGATTACGTGCACTAGACGATGGCTGCAGACGTACTGCTTTATTACTGTGGCCCTGATCGTTTTGTTGGACACTGCGGTGATTACTGTGCTCGAGACGATTGAGCATGTTCGCCAAGTCGGAAATGGCTTCCAATTCATTGTCTGTTATTGCACTGACTGCGTTAGTATTGCTACCCATTGTCGGTATTTCGATTATGTTGTCGGCTTTCCTCGCCAAGTCGCCTATGTCGTCGTCGAGGGTCGCTGTTGTGCATGGATTGGTAAACGTCGCAGCCATAAAGATTTTAAAATTTCTTTGTCCAAGCGATGGTTGGCAAGATCTCTCATTTCTCTGAGTAAAGTTGTAGGTTTTTTGTCGCCCAACTCGCAACGTGCGAACAAACGTTTGAGTCGCTTTTCGTTTGACTCACCAAATTCGCTAATCAGCCTCTGCTTCAAGGCTTCGTATTTATTTGTAGCAGGTGGCGAAGAAATCATGTCACTGGCGTGTGCCAGTACTGCAGAGTCTGTTTCGGCCACAACCGTATAAAATTTAGTCTCATCTGTGGAGATTCCCACGCGCGAAAACTGAGCATTCACCTGCGCGAACCACAACCGAGGGTCTGGTTTCCAAAATGGTGACGGCTTCACGGTGAGCCGTGCCACCCGGAAAGGGGTAACCGCGTCCTCAAATCGGTCCTCGTTTTCGTCTTCCATTAAGTGTTCTTGCGGGGTCACCAGCTATGGAGCGCAATGCTCTATATTTCCGTTTATTAAATAAGATTATAATTAAGTACTACAATTCAATAATTAAATCAAGCGCGTCAGTATCTTGTCTCTATATCAATGTGAAGTTGGTTGCAGTTAGAAGCTAAAAAGTATTAGTGTTGCCACCTATAATATATTCATCTATAAGTGTTAGGTCAGATCCTTACACACACATTGTCTCACAAAAGTATTTTAGTTTTTCACAATATTCAAAATCTTCAATATAAATCTTTTTCTATAATTTTTAATCTAAAACAGTCGTTTCTATAACAAAAACCATATAAATCAATGTTGAAAGCTTTGTACAAAATGTCAGAGAATCTCAAGAAATGATCATTATAATATCATCATAATTCAAAACTAAACAACTTAGTGAATCACATACATGTATTTATTTCATTTGTACTTTCATTTGCACTTAAACTTCTACAAATTAATTAGAAATATTAGGGCAATTCACCCAAACGCGTAAATGTCTCGTAACTACCTAAACCTCGTAAACTTACTTAATTTTGTATGTTTATATTAGTAATTTTTAGGAAAAAAAACAACAAAGCTATAAGTTTACCGGATTTGTTCCTGGAATAAAGAAAACGTGTTTGAATAAAATAAAGTTCAGTATTATTTTATGTAGATAAGATATTAAAAATTCTCATTTGGCAATTACCATGGTTTTACTTTTTCAGCAAATCAGCTATCGACATCATTATTAGCAGTTTTTCTATTTCCCTCTGCTCTTTCCTTTCCATCAAATAAGCCTTTCTCTTCAAACTCTCCTCAAACAGTTTCTCCAATCTTTCATCTGACTTTTCTTTTTTTCTAAATACCGCTCTAGCGAAGTTTTCTTTCTTTTGGAGGTGTGCGGCGTGAAATCGGGGACATCTACTATATAAACAACATATTAAATATATTGTATGTTAGAAACATATATAATGCAAACATACATATGTACCTGGTGTAGCTGGCGAAGGTTTCCTTTTGTTGGAAGTGGACGGCGTGAAATCGGGCTCGTCTATTACATATATACAAATAAATATATTTTATGTAAGGAATATTTATAATTCAAACATATTGCTCGTTTACTTCGATAGTGTAATAACTAAAAAAAAAAAACTCGAGAAAAACGGCTTTAAAGTTTTGAATTTACATACATGAATACATATTATGTTCTAGTTGGCTACTGGTAACCGATTCATCTATGAAATTTTTACACAACATAGAAAACGTAGCGGTAATTTTTGCGTACTTAAATATTTGTAATTTTTGGATTATGGCACTATTGGAGTAAATGAGCGATATGTATGTACCTGGTGTAGCTGGCGCCGCATCTAAGAATTCTTCTACACCAGTGCTGACGTCAAGACTGGAGTTCACTTAATGTACATAAATATAAACGAAAACTTTGGTTTATTTCGCTTAAAACATATTAAAAACCCTATACAGACTTACTTTTGATATGCGCAGATCTGTCTTGCCCTTCCCGTTTTGGATTTATTCGAAGCCGCTTGCTTGCAGTTCCGTTCTAGGGTATAGAATTTCGTCTGCACTTGCACCGCCGTAAACATGTATCCCATTTCGCAAAGTTCTTTGCGAGTTGTAGTCCACATTTGCTTCGTGTTTTTTAGAGAATCGCTTTTGCCAACCCTTAGACATAAATCCCAAACCTTCTCGATTAAAAATCTCGATGGCGCATCCAACCACAATGGTTTTGCTAAATCTGGCGATTCTCTAGGGGCCGTATCCACATTTTGCTGATATGCACAAGCAGCCTGCTTAGATAGATATTTCTGGCTCTTTTTGGGAAAACGTTATTTGTCCAAACGTATCTTCCCCGGCACCTTGCTGTATTACACACTGCCTACAATTTGGATTTTCAGGTTTCAATAAGTAAATAAAAAGTGTTTATTTACAATGCTTATAGTCTAATAATCATAATTTCCGTTTCTTACCTGCTTGAATCTTTTTGAAAGTTCCTGGGGAACAATTAATTGTTAATTCATTGTTATTTTCCATTTTTATTCTTTATTCTTTATTTTTTCCCACCAAATGAATCAGCTGTTTAGCTGCTTGCAAGTTTTTGCAAATATTGCGTTCTCGTACTTCTGTTGATATTTCGTCTCTTTGAGAGCGAATGCTGGTAAATTCTCAGAACATTTGCTGCTGGAGAACTTTTTCCTCTCAATACGAGTACACACCTTATCTCTGACTGGGACAGTTATCTTAGGTATTTCACTTTTTTGCATAATACTACTCCAAATTCTGTTTTTAACAATAAATTTACTCCATTCGAACCAGTTTTCGGGAAAACACCGACTTTACCGCACGATTTGAAAAAAAAAACGAAAAACTGATCCCATTTAAAATGTTGAAAATTATGCAAAAGAGGTTAAGTACCGGATGCAAAAATCACGTGCAATAGCCAAAGAATTAATTAACATACATAAAATCTGCAACAAAGTTTTGTATAATACACTTTCGCCCAGTACAAATTAAAGAAAACGATCTCGTTCTGGTACAAAAAGAACCCAGAATCTAGCATGAAAATATATGTCAGGGTCTTCACGTTGTAACTAAAGTAGATGATGTTAATATCACTATCTTCGATAAAGAAAAAGATAAAGTAAAAACGACCCACAAAACCAGAGTTCAAAAAGTTAGTTGAAAATCTTATCTCAACCAACTATTATTTCAAAATATAACAAAAAGATGTTTATGAATTTTTCAAGTCAATCACACGAACATAAAAAATTTTAAAATGAAATATTATTCACTAAATAGAAATTTTTCGCAACTGAACACAATTCGTTAATTTATATAAACTCAATATTATAAATACTAGTGAAAAAAATATGTTTTGAATGTACTTAGGTTTATTTATAAGAAATAAATTTGTAACAACTATTTTACAATACCCTAAGCTAAAAAAGAAATTGCTACTTAAGACTACAAAAAAAATTTTAATGAACAAATATTGTATTGTAAAATACTTTCAAAATTAAACATTAAAATGTTTAGTTAAATATTTACGGAAACCAAAAAAAAATTGTATTAAATATAAAACGAACTTAATTTTTCAACTTTTAATTTAGCCTATTATTAATTACGATTAAGTAAATTTCATATAATGTAAATTTAGTTAGTATGTTAGGGAGTGTGGATTTCCAAATTGCTATGGACGAACGAATAAAAGGGGGGCGACCACCTAAAGTAAAAAAAAAATAAATTGGAATTTATGATTGAACTACGGCACCCTGAAATTGTGCATATGGAAACTGTGCATACGAAATAATGCATATGAAAAAAACCGAAATAATGCATACGAAAAAAACCGAAATAATGCATATATGCACAGTTTCGGTTGAAAACCGAAATAATGCATATGAAAAACCCGAAATAATGCATACATGCACACTTTCGTTTGAAAACCGAAATAACGCATATGAGAAAAACGAAGTAATGCATACATGCACAGTTTCGGTTGAAAACCGAAATAATGCATATAACAAAAACCGAAATAATGCATGCATGCACAGTTTCGGTTGAAAACCGAAATAATGCATATGAAAAACCCGAAGTAATGCATACATGCACAGTTTCGGTTGAAAACCGAAATAATGCATATGAGAAAATACCGAAATTATGCATATGCATACTTTCGTTTTAAAAGCGAAATAATGCATATGAAAAAAAACGAAGTAATGCATACATGCACAGTTTCGGTTTAAAACCGAAATAATGCATATGGTAAAAACCGAAATAAAGCATACATGCACAGTTTCGGTTGAAACCGAAATAATGTCTAAATGCACAGTTTCCATATGCGCAATTTCGGTGCCCCTTGAACTACATATGTAGACACATGCATATACATCTATATTAATAAAAATGTTGTGTTCGTATGTCACGGTCGTCAAAACTCGAGAACGGCTGAACCGATTTGAATAATTTTTTTTTTNTTGATTAAGTAAATGAAATATTGCAATGTGGGTATCAAATTAAAGAGTGTTAAGAAGGCTTACAGCCGAAAATATGTATCATTAGGGTTGCCACCTGTTTCAAAGTTTAACTAAATTACACTGATGAAATAAATGAAATATTACAATATTGTTATCAAATTAAAGAGGGTATAACTGCTGGAAATATTTTTGTGGAGTGTTGCCACCTACTATGTGAAAATTTTAACTCAGTCAAATTGATAAAATAAATAAAATATTGCTATGTGGGTGTCAAACTAAAGAGTTTTAAGAAGGCTTACAGTCGAAAATATTTTACAGGAGGGTTGCCACCTGTTAAAAAATTTTGCGCAATTTAATTGATAAACTAAATGATATACTACAATATAGATATTAAATTAAAGAGGTTCACGAAAGATAACTGCTGGAAATATTTTTTAGGAGGGTTGCCGCCTATTTTAAAAGTTTTAACCCAGTTAAATTGATAAAGTAAATGAAATATTGCAAGGTATAAAACTAAAGAGTTTAAAGAAGGCTCACAGGCGAAAATATTTTAAAGGAGGATTGCCACCTGTTAAAAAATTTAGCGCAATTTAATTGATAAACTAAATGATATATTACAATATAGATATTAAATTAAAGAGGTTTAAGAAAGATAACTGCTGGAAATATTTTT